GGAAGCTTTGGATAAAGGAAAGAATGAAAGAAATAGGGTAGAAAAAGTGGAAAAAGGGGGAAAGATAGTAAGAAAGAAAGAGAGAGAAGGAAATAGTAGACATTAGAGAGACATAAAGAAAAGGAGAAAAATAGAGAAAGATAGGTAGAAACGAAGAGAAGAAAAATAGAAAAAAAAGAAAAGGACAGGAAAATTAAAATAGTAAAAGAAAGAAAAAGAAAAAAATAGAAAAGAGAAGAAGAGGAGAAAAAGAAAGAATAAGGGAGAATGAGTAAATATGTAAGTAAAGAAAGAATGAAGAACGGGAGAAAAGTGACAAGATCCTGCGAAAGAAAAAGAAAGATCAAAATAGAATGAACGCTCAAAAACATGAGGAGCGAAAGAAAGATAAAAGAAAGACTAACAAAAAGTAATAAAAAAAACAATAAAAGAAAGAAAGGAAGGAAGGAAGGAAGGAAGGAAAAAGAAGGAAAGAAACAAAGAAAAGAAAAACTGTGAAAGAAACAATCCAAGTATCCCATTAGTTTTTTACGAAATCTGATAACGACCTCTTAAGATTAGAATCATCACTCTACTTTACCATTGTCATTACAATAACTACATTGATATCGCTTTCATGACTATGATATTACTGATTTTAATATTACGAAGAAACTTCCTTCTTTCTTTTATAACAAGAAATAACTGAATTTTTATCTATATATTTCAATAGTATATCAAAGTTTATTATTATTATTATTATTTATAAATATATAATTTACAAGTAATACATACCAATATATATATATATATATATATATATATATATATATATATATATATATATATATATATATATTACAAAACATAGGAATTAGGATTACTCCATGATTCCTAATTCCTATAGTTTGTAATTTATATGCTTTGTTTTATATAAAACATTGAGTTTCTCTGTGTATGAATCAGTTTTAATATTCTATGCTATATTAATAGAATTCCCTTGTATTATATACCAAATGGATTTTATATATATATATATATATATATATATATATATATATATATATGTATATATATATATATACACACGTATGCATATATATATATATATATATATATATATATATATATATATATATATATATATATATATATATATATGTGGGGGGGTGTGTGTAAGAAAAGGATCGTCCTTTGGTATTCTCGGAGTAAGAAGTTCAGTAAATCTCGAAGAAATCTTAATCTCTGACGAAGATTTAATAAAAGGGAAACATCTGAGCTTGATATAAGTTTCCTATTTGTTCTTTTCTTTCATCATCATTTTTTTTTTTTTTACAAATGAGTAGACTCTTGTAAAGGGTCTACACAAGGTAGAGGGTTACCATTTATATGTACAGGTGAGGGAGATAACGAATAACCCTGGCCTTGAATAGGTTAAAATTGTAGTGATCGGGGAAATATCCTGTTGGGTGTCGATTCCAAAAGCCAACAGTTCGCGGGAACAAGAGTGAAACAAAATAAATTATAAAATATATGTATTTTTCCTCAGTTTCTTCTTTAAATAATTTTATAATATTGTAAACTTAATACAGATTAAATTTAAAATTGGTAATTTTTAATTTTCAATTTAATTGCAAAATTTAATATTAATCAATTAGAATGATTTCTATTTTAGTCTAACCCTAACATTAAGGCATTAATAATTATAACCAAGGTTCGTTGTCAAGTTTTTTGAATTCTCATCTACTTGTATTTTGATTGGTCATTGCAGCTTATGTAACAGCGTTTCCCCTAGTGAGTAGTGTTTGGTCGATTTGAACCATTTAAAACTCTTTATTCTACTTTCAACACCATTACTTGAGAAGACACCAGAAGTGTTGAAACAAAATAGCTATTTTTGTAGTGATTTTAATAACATATTTAGGTTATAATTTTCAAATAAATTATATATATATATATATATATTATTTGATAATCCGTATGGATAATACCAAAGTGGATATAAATCAAAAGAGAACTGAATGTAAGAACAGCCGCTGTCATCCACAAAGGTTTATTTTTTCTATATTACTCCCCGCTCCCCTATAGTTCTCTAGACATATATATATATCTTTCTCATTCTCTCCCTTTCTCTTTCTCTCTTATTCCGTTCCCCCATATTGAATCTTTATTTTAAGGCATATTTCGTTTTTTGACTATGCTTGGAAATTCTTTTTAAAAATTCATTTATTGTTGAAACCGTTTGGTCTGATGATACGAAGCCGAAGTATCGGACGGTTTTGCGAAATAAAATATTACCATGGGTTTCTAAAGTCTCCTGCTTTCATATCTATATATATATATATATATCTATATATATATATATATATATATATATATATATATATATATATATATGTGTGTGTGTGTGTGTGTGTGTGTGTGTGTGTGTGTGTGTGTGTGTGTGTGTGAATAAAGACAAAAGGAAAACTACTTCTTCGACGCGTTGCATTTTCTATGGGACTTTATCTAGCCAAATGCG